AGATATTTAAGCTTAAAGTCAAGAAAACTTTTACTTAGAAAAAATTTGTCCCTTTTCTATTGACTCCCCCCCATATATATGAAAGATAGTTTGCAAGTTGGATCACCTATCGCTATAGATATTATCATTCGTTTACCTTCTCTAAGATTATTTAGAGAATTACAGTAATATCAAACCAAATATAGATGATATTTCGTATCGGTTCACAGATAACTACAAATAAAAAACATTACAATTATATATAAATCAAATTATATTTACGACTTTTAGTTTATTACACAAATAAAAATATATATATATATATAATTTTATTACCACAAAATGTTTATTTATAATAATTAATAATTTATCGTATTACTTTATGGTGCGTATAACCTATACGTAATTCATCTAAAAAAAGTAGTAAATAACGAAAATAAATTACATATGTAACCGGTATCGATTATTATCATTATATAGTACTGTATATAATCCTATTAAAATATATATATATAGCTATCTCTACTTTCTTTTTTTTAATTTATCTAAAAATCATACCGATACTACGTATAATCTTAATACGTACCTGGTATATACTGTAAATATAGAACTCTCAATTAGGTTATTCTGATCATTTTTGATACGTAACATCCTTCGAACATCAATATATATATTATCGAGTATTAAATCGTGATATTTATTTATTATTACTTATTTGTATGTCAATATAACACTATTGGGTTTTAGACAGCTTAAACCTGCGTATTTATTTCTTTCAAGTTACATAATTGTATATCCTATTTTTCTAGCTTTAGATAAAAAAAAAAAAAAAAAAAAAAAATCACACAACGAAAATCGAAAATACAGTAATAATATTCTCAATTTGAATTTGAATTAATTTTTATCAATAATCAAATTGTAGAATCAATACCAGCTTTAGATTCTGAAAATCCTGAATCTTGACGATATGCACTCGTAAATTTAGAAATCGCTGATTTACTAGTCGAAAAAACATCTTCCATAGGTTCATCATGAAAAGTTGGTGATTCTGTTTTAAGAACTGGAACTGGTACAGTGTTACAAACTTGTTCATTATTAGATTTATCAACAATCTTTGAAGATTTTTGAGGGTACATAATATTTGTAGTGGCTATCATAAGTTTTGTTAAAGGATAGGATAAAATTTAATAATAGTTGAACCGAAGATGAATTTTTACTATTACTATAAGCATTACATAAAATGTTTTTTATTCGATAGGCTTTTATACTTTTATATTATAAATCGCTTTAGAGACAATAACCCTGCATAGATTTTAAAAACATAATACAGTCGATACTATCTAAATGCATACTGCATACTGTCTAAATGCATAATTTTTTAAAGAAATTTATTAGTAATATGCATTTAGACAGTTGATTTTCTGGTATTTGATTGGTTGATACTGTATAAATGCATAAATTTGATTTTTTTTTGCCTTTCTCGACGGTATGCATTTAGACAGTATCGACTGTAGTACCTGTTGTATTGCCGCTATCAGGTTTCTATCTTTTCGGATACTGCCATAACCTGATCCATATCTTAAGCCACAACCTTCCTAATTAGGATTCCATTATGTACTTCTTACTCTTGTAAGATTTACAACAACCTCGGTATCAACATTCTAACTTTCTTTTTTCCTAAATTTCTTACTAGTCCCTCTCTTACTTCTAGCCAGCAACTAGGAAGGGTTGGTCTGCTCAGGCTTTAGGTACCTCACAGTTATCCTCTCCTTGGTACATGCTTCTAGAGCAAAAGTTCTTTTTCTCTGGTTAGTGGTCTGGTGGTTCAGCTGGTATATCCCCTTATTTAAGAATCTGGTTGTTTGGTTTTCTAATCTCAGTTCTCGGTTCCAAATTTAGCCTTCCTGTAGCACTGTCAAAGATCACTGCTACTTCACACTCGGAACTTGCCAAATGGGTTTTCGGTAATTTCAGTTTTCTAGATTTATTGCGCTGAAGCTCCTATTCGAGATGGTGTGACCAAGATTATAGATATCTGGATTCAATCGATAATCTTAATGTTAACCAATACAGATCTAGTTTTTTCAAAATCATCATCTATGGGATTCAAACTCTAGACCTGCCATCTGGGGGTGTGACAACTCTACCACTTTACTAAGTCGCTATACTCTTAAAAAATTAAAACTTTATTCTTAGTATAGTATATACAAAATGCTATATAATATTATATATATTCTTATACTTGAAAACAATATACTTAAAGTAGATATTATTTTTTTTATTTTTTATTTTTATTTTTAAACTTAACACAGATTAAATGAAGGTAAAATGGGTACCAATTGGTATTATATAATTCTGATATAAAACTGATTTAAAACAGATATTTAATGCAAATAAGAAATTTTTAAGATACAAATTGGTTTTATATAGATATTTAATATATATCAGAATGCTGATAGCTTTATAGATAAATCAATAAAACTTGTCTTATAGCTTTTTCAATTTATCTATAGAGCTATTGGCATTCTAATATGTATTGAATATTTATATAAAACTAATTTGTATTTTAAAGATCTTCTATTTGTACCAAATATCTGTTTCAAATTAGTTTCATATTAGGATTACGTGATGCTAATTGATGCCCGATTTGCTTTCATTTAATCTGTATAAGGCAGTATTATTTATTACTTAATTTTTTTTTTTTTTTTTAAAACGCGAAATAGCGTGCATTACTTAATTTTTTTTTATTAGAGATATACATACCCTTTTCTCTCTTTTCTATTATATATTTAATCAGGTCTTTATATATAATTTTATCTTTTTTTACCTTTTTCTCTCTTAAAAATTACCTGATTTTTGTTACTTTTCTTAGACAGTTTTATTAAAATTCAAAGTATATTAAAAAAAATATATTTATATATTTACTTTTAACTTGCAAGTCTAATATTATTTAGCTTTTTTTATAAATAAGATGCTTAAATACAACTTACTGTATTAATCTAAAGTTTTTTTTTTTTTTTTATTAATATAATGTTATAGTAGAAACTTTATTATAATAAAATCTAGATTAATCTAAAGATCAATAGTCTCCTTATTTAAAGTAAGACTTGGGTAAGGGGACAGATAAGTTACTTAACCAGGCTGATGAAACTCTTTAACTCAGAACTAACTAAAAACAAAGAGGTTTGGCTTAAAAGAGAATAAGTATAGCAAAAAATTTCTAACTATATTTGTGCTACAGAGTACCCAATATGACATTACACCTCCTATTTCCTATTTAAGTACTATTATTAATTTAAGTGAATAATGTAATTTTAGTTAGAATAGGTAGGAGAAAACCTAAAATATTAATCATGATATTATAAGAAGCATGTTGTTAAAAAGAAGCCTTGTAAATACTATTTTTCAATAGCATAATATGAATCTATTGGTTAAGTATAAAGTTTTTGTATATTTGTTTAATTAGTAAGTAGCAATAGAGATAATTTGTTACACTTAGCCTTGGGTGTAATATTGTAAGCTATTTCCTATTGATATTAAAGAGAATTTTGTTAAAACCATATTTCATGATAGAACCAGTTTAAAAAATTATTTGAAAAGTTAATAAGGAGGAGTTCAGTTTGTTTTTTTGTTAAGGCTTTGATGTTTTGGTATGTTGTTTTAGAATATATTTCAAGAAAAGTAAAAAAGAAAAAGTTATATTATGTATTAGAAGAGGTAATAGTAGGTAATAACAAAAGATTAAGAAGTATTATAGATAGTATAGATATAATTTAAAGCTATTAAAGAGTGTTATTAGTTATATAAAAAAGTGATTGTTAAATATTTTTAGTGTTTTTTGTGCATAGAAGTATGTGAAGAGTATCTTCGATTAGAGGGCATTTACAATATTTGTTTGTTGTATATAGATTTAGGTAGTGAATATTAAGATTTTGCATTGTTGAAAGATTATTTGTCAGAATTTTGATATAAAAGGTGTATTTATGAAGGTTGTATTTTAAAGAGTTAAGTATTCTAAATATTAAATTCTAGTTTATATCAGATATATAATTGTTAAAGAATTTTAATGAGTATCAAAAAAGGAGTTCTTGAATTGTAATAATGTTTTTGATAAAAGTGTGTGCCTTAAATAGGATAGTATGAGTATCTCAAAGAAAGTAAGTAGGAAGATTAAAGTATGTATGGGAGATTTCTAAAATAGGTTCATTAGAATCTTGTTTGGCCAAGAAGTTAGCTTAGTTATAGAGAAAATTAGTTGAATGTGATTTAACTTTAATAGGCAAAGTAGTAATATTTTTTGCAAATTTAATAGAATTAATAATAAAGATAATATTCCAATTTTTGTTTTGAATAAGTTTGGAGAAGGGTATTTAGTAAGTTTTTAATTAATAAAATATTGTCTATATAGATACTAGCAGTAGTATTTATTAGTAAAGCAAGTAAAAGAGGAATAATTGCTATTAATTCAGCCTGAGAAAAGTCAGAAGAAGGGTGAATTGCTGCATTAAATTTAATAGATAGGTTGTTTTCACAAACCCAGCCTATGCCAGTTTGTATATTTGGAGTTTGAAGGTTTTTGATAAAAGTATCAGAAGAAAATCAGAAACTGAGTGTGTTTAGATTTAGAATATTGTTGTAGATTTGAATTAATTGATTTTGGTAATAGGAAGATTTAATAATATAATAAATTAGTTGTATTTCACAGAAGAAGAAATTGATTTGAGGTTGGTATAGAGGAGAGGTTAAAGAGAAGTTTAGATTATTAAAAATATCAATTAAAGCTAAAATTTCTTTGTCGTTAATTTGTAAACAAAATTTGTTAAACTTGATTTGCTTATATAGAAGGTTTATGAATTTGAAGTGTGATAGTGTGTTAAAAGATTTTATTAAATTTGTTTGTCCTATAAGTATTTCCTCAAGTTGGTTAACTTCATATAATGTAATTTGTTGGAGATTGTTTTAATGAAGAAAAATGATATTTTGACTATTGAATAGTAATTTAAAAGAAAAATTTAAAGAAGGAGATATTAGATCAGTTGTATTAATGAAACAATTTATAGGAGATAGTTTAAAATATGGCCATATATTTGAAGAGAATTTGTTTGTATTATTTAAAGAAGACGAGTAAACCAGGAGAGTTAGTGACCTCTAGAGATTTTATTTGTGTGAAGATAAATATTGTTTCAAGAAAGAAGAGAATTGTTATTTGCTGTTGTGATTTGTTCTTTTTTTTTTTATATTAGATGATCCTGCCTTTCTTCTTTATTAGAATTTATAGTGATTATTGCTACCTACAACAATATACAATTTATCTAAAAGCATAAGAAAGACTCACTTGATACCAAAGTATTCAGATGCAACCTGCCATATAACTATTTATCTCCATCAGGGTCTCAAACTATACTTGAAACTTGTTTCCCAATATTACTGAATAGTTGTTAATACCATGTCAGAATCATACTCCTTTTCTTAAAATTTTTCCTTCTTTATAAAGAGCAAATTGAAAAAAGTGAAAAAGTATAACATGTTACCAAGAAAATAAAATTATTAATAAAAGCAAAAAACCAGTACAAAAAAGAAAAAACAAAAAAAAGAAGACAGATACTGATAAAAAAAAAAGAGAAAAAAGAAAAATAACAAAAGAAAAAAATATTAAAACTGACCAAAAAAAAAAAAGAACAAAAATACACTATTATAACCTGTGCTAGGCTTAAAAAAAAATTGTAAAAAGTTGTGATTTGTTCTATAAATAGAATTTTGTTATTTTTAAAACTATTAATTGTTAGATTGTTGGGAGTTGGAGAAAGTATATCATAAATTAAGTGTGTATTTTTAGAAATAAAAAGAGAGTAAGTTGTTATTTAAGAGGAAAGAGAGATTGTTATATTGTTTTTGGCTAGTTAAGTAAAGTAGAATAAAAGAGTATAGTTTTTTATTTTTCAATAGTGTAAAAGAAGTGTTTTTTTGGTAAGTTTAGAAAATCAAATTTTTAATAACTAGGATTTAATGCCTATATTAGACAGAAGCAAAGAGGTATTGAAGGTATATTTAATATTAAAAATACTAACTTTTTGAACTATGTTATTAAGTATAGATAAATTGAGAGTAAGTGAGTTGGTAAGTGAAATGTTATTAG